AGCAAGAGAGCAAACAAAAGAGAGTGAGAGATGTAAGGCATAAAAGATCGTCTCTCTCGGTGTGAGCGAGGGAGACGGGTGAGTAGGTGAGTGAGGAGAGCGTGAGCTCCTCCCTTATTGTAATCTTTCTGTAATCTCTCCATTGTTATAGTGATAATCGGTTACTCTCTCGTAGACGTAGGCTTTAAGGCCGAACCACGTTAAATATGGTGTCTCCTTATGTGTGGGTGTGTTTTCCTGCTTGGTATGATTTCTACAAGGTCTTGGGCGGAATCCCCGATCCCCAACACTTCTTGTAGATTTGAAACTCGAGCGAAGGGACAAGGTCGTGAGGGTTGGAGAACAGCAATGGGCTTTGTGTAAGTGATTGTTTTATTCAATTGACTATGGCAATAACGAGGGCTTTCAACCATGTTGTGCTTGATTTTGGGAACAAGGCTAATATTAGATCGCTGTCGTGTGCTTGGAAATGTTTTTGAAAGGTGACCACGATTGATGTTGTTGGACCCCAGAAACCTTGATAGAAAGAGTGATAATTCCATCAAAGTGTCTTTGTTTGGGAAGGTTTGGAAAGAGATTTTGGATTTCTGTGTCTTCTTTATTTTTCTCTTGGTCTGTTTTAGAAAGGTTTGTTGTCTTTTCTGATTTCTCTACTATGTTTGGTTCTTGAATTTAGAAAGAAATTTGGAAAGAAAAAAGAAAGTATAAAATATAGATGAAATGTAATTATATTTCACTTATTTTTTTTTTATTTCTATTATTAAATACTTGAACTAAACACAACCTAAAAAAAGATAGACGGTACGACAATTCATGGGAATCTAACAATTTTGAGTTAAAAGGGTTTGATGAGAAAAGGTGCCAATAAATAAATAAGTAGGTTGTTCGGACAATAGCTACGTATTGAATATACCTTCAATCAAAGACATGTGCCAAGTTTCGTGCATGCAAAAGTTGACACAGAATGTATATTTAGGGTGAACTTGGAATCAGCATAAAAAAAATCAATTTTTTTTTATATAATATTTGAAAATTATTTCATGTTATTTTTATTAAAAAAAAAATTAATTTTCAAATCTGTCATGTAAAAGAATTTAGAAAGTAAAATATCTATATTGAAAAAATCCAAAAAGGAACCAACTTTTTTTTGTTTTTAGTGGATTTTTAAATTTTTTTTTTATCCTTTTGGTCCATCTTTAGAACTTAAAAAAGCATAAATATTTTTGAATTTTAAAAAAAAAAATTTACTGATAGAAATTGTTATTGAATAAGAAAAATGATATCGACTCAAAATCTGTGTATAAAAAAATGCTCCGAAAAAATAAAGTGCAGTTCAAATTCATTTTATGTTTTGGTCCTAGTATATTTAGAGCAATTTAAGTCACGTTTATGTTTTGAATAAATTTTGGTATATACGGAATGATAGGGCTATATTGAAACTTATTATTATAAATATAAATAAAAAATAAAAAAGAAGAAGAAGAAATGCTCATTAAAAGATATTTAATTATTGACAAAAAATATTTAATTATAAATATGTCATTGTTATATCATTCTATTTAATTATAAAAATAATATTTTACTTCAATTAATATAAAAAAAATACAAGAATATGAAAAAATATATTAAATCATACTCATAATTTTATCCAATCAAACAAATATGACCCCAGAGACAAAACAACAGTGATTTTTTTAGAAAAGGGGAGGTGGGAGATTCGTCCAATTATCTAACTTCTCCAATGGCAGAATGTGCAAAGAAACTCATCCATGAAAAATTTGAAGGGTCTGGTTTGACATTCAAAATGTGCTTATTTTGAATTTTTAAGTTAAAATAATATGGGTGTTATAGATTGCACCTCTTTATTTTTATTCTTTGAGATTTGTCTGTGATTTGCAGTTTTTTTTTTTTTTTTTTTTTTAAACTTTTTGAATGAGTGATTTCAATGCAAATAAGGGTTGGGGTTTGGGAAGTGGGTTGACTTTTTAGTTTTTTTGACTTTTTTGACTATTTTAGCCTAGGCTAAAAAGCTTGATTTGGGATAAGGGTGTACACGGTCCGAATTGGTTCGGTTATGAGAAAATCTAAGAACCGAACCGATCCTAACGGTTCTATGATTTTGAGAACCAGACCAGACCGTTACACTTGTAAAATCGGACCAGAACCAAACCGAAAAAACAGTTCGGTTTCGGTTTGGTTTACGGTTCCAAAATTTTCTATTTATAAGAATAAATTGTTAATATTAGCAAAATAATTACTTAAACTAATTACATTTAACTTATGATAAAAACTAATAATATTGAGGCAGTACTTAATATTACATATCTATACCATCCTAATATTATTAAAATTATAAAAAAACCAATTAATAAAAAAAAACTTTATATTATATATATATCTTTTAAAATTCGGTTCGGTTCGGTTTGAACCACGGTTTTTTCATAAAATCCATTAACCGAACCGTTTTTACGGTTCTCATATTTCTTAATCCGAAACCGAACCAATTCTTAATAGAACCGAACCAAACCGAATGATTCGGTCTGGTTCGGTCCGGATTACCGGTTTGAACGGATTTTTGAACGGCCCTAGTTTGGGAAGAGTTTTTTGGCTTTTTTTGTGAGAAAAGAGTGTAATGATTATGGGTTAAATGTGATATTTTATTTTTTTGTAGTTAAAATAGTTTATTTTATCTTTTATGACTAAAATAGCCAAAAAAATCCCTTACCTAACTTGCCAAACGGAGGCAAACCTTTTCTTCACTTCATTCTCTGCATCGGCATGACTTTAAAGAGAATTTGTGATCAAAAGAAAAACTAGATTTTGAGCGGGGGTTGTGAGGGTTGGGAGTTGTATTTTTTGGGAGTTTGTAGCATTTTTGAGGAAAATATTCATAATCAAGTCATCAAAACTTTCATGGAAACATCAAAACTACAAAATATATATATATATATATATAATATAAATAATGTTTCTGTTGGAGAAAATACCAGAAACTAAACAATATTATTGATAAATGATGCAAAGAAAATGAGATACAAATAGATCAGGCTGAAGCACGGATATCTCGTTTTCTTTAAGGAGATCAAGCCCACTGCGGTAGGAAGAATCCAAATACCGATGCAGCAGTCACAATACTATGACTTGTCCCCTCCAGGATACAACAGCCCGACCACTTGTCGTATGGTTCAGGCCAACTCTGCACAAGATGGTGAACCCAAAGCTCCACTAATAAAACACCCTTCTTTGCTAGTAATCTCTCTTGTATAGAAAATAGCTTATCTCTATAGATAGAAAAGAGTAGACTATATATATAGGCTATAAGGACCTTACAGTTACACCAAAAATAATGACCATTAAACAAGAAAATGGTTACACCAAAATAATGACCATTAACTAGGTTCATGAATTCTATTTAACATCCATTTATGACCAAGAGGTTACCAAAGAAATAAAACCCCATTAATGAAAAAGATAAATCAATAAATAAATATAAGATATTAAAATGGTCCAACAGTTTCAATAATGTTTGACAAAAAAAATTGAATAAAAAAATTTATTTCATATGAAATACTGCAACCGTACCATCAAATTTTTTATAATTTTTTTCTATTATCCCTAATTTTACTTTTCATCAATTTGACAGGAAAAAATAATAATTTCTAATGATTTATCTTTCTTTTTAAATTTTCATCAAATTTTGAATTTGATGAAGGATTTAATGAGTTTTCAATTTGGTATTAAAAAAAAAATGTCTTTTAATTTGATGAACAATTGATAAAAGGAATATTTTTTATCAAATTTAAATTTGATGAAAAAAAATAAAGAATTGGAGAATTCTTGTAGTTTAAATTATAAGAAGCTGTTTGGGAGCATAGAAATTTTTTTTTTTTTTGTCTTTAGTGACTTTTTTTAAACATTATGTCAATTTTTTTTTTACTTTTATGTATGTCTTGCGTAAACGAATTTAAAAAATAATTCTCAACAAAATTGAAAAGGCCAAAATAGGAATTAAAAATTCATTACTTTTGACTTACTTTTTTATTTTTCTGAAATTTTTAAAATATTTTATAAATTTTCGATTGATCTCATCTCATCGAATATAATTTAAAATTTTTAAATTTTTTTTATAAAATTTCATTAATGAAACCCCCTCAAAAAAACATAATAGTGTATTTATTTTATATTTTTTTGAGGGGGGAATTAGCATCCAGTGGCAACTTTTAAAAAATATTACATAAACATAAAAAAAGTTTAAGATTTTTATTATTAATATTAATTAAAAAAATTCACTAATTTTTAAAATAAATTATAAATATATTTTTTGAAATTTATTTAAATTATACAGAAGTTAATGGGTGGTGACTCTGGTTTCAAAAAGTAAAAAGGGATATTTTGTAGGGTTTTTTCGTCTTTTCACACTTAATTTAAAGGGTAATATGGTCATTCTGTATAGGTAAGTAACGTCGTTTGTACAAAATTGACGGCTTGGAGGAATCTTGATATTGTCAGGTAAAGTAGGGGAGGTTATTGTAATTATTCAAACCACAGGGGTGGTCCCTGTATTTGTCAGAAACTTCAGGGGAGGTAAATGTAATTTACCCAAAGGTAAAAAATGATTTTTTATCATCTTTCTAAAATAGTCCTAAATTCAAATCTTATATTATAGAATATTTAACAAATTAAAATTTAATATTTGTCAACCACATCATTAAAAATAATTTTTAAAGTGATAAATTAAGGCCTAGTGTAGGAAGACTAAATAAGTGTACTTCTTGATTTTTATGAAATATGAGTTAGGTTTGGGTTGGGTTTGAAGTGATGTGTTAGAGACGTGATGTGACTTAAATAGGATAGTGACTTTTTAACTTTTTGTCTTTTTTCAATCATACCAAACTTGGCCTAAATGTCTTAAATATTTTTCGAATCCGGTTAAAAAAAACATTTTTCGAATCCAATAAAAAGTCCCTCTTTCTTTCTTCGCGCAAAACTTTTTGAACTTTTGGCGCCAAAATTCCTGAAATAAATCCATAGGTAAAAAGAAATAGAGAGAGAAATTGGAAACGAATTAAAAAGAAATGAATTCAAAACATCCTCCAGTTAGGGTTTTGGGGCAGCGATCTATTGCTTCCACATTCCTCTTTCGATCTTCCAAGCCCAACCCGTAAGCCTAAAACTGGTATTTTCACTTCTTTGAGTCCACAATCTTTGGTTTCTTGATATTTGATGCTCTACTCTTTCTGGGTTTTCTATATTTGTGCCTCAATTAGGTCCACTGATTGTAAAGGAGATGTGAAGATCAAAACCCTTAAGAGGGATTCGCCTGTTTCGCTCTCCGATTTCCTCAACCGAAAGCTGCACAGAAGTTCTGTTTTGCCAAGTTCAGCTCAGGTATGTTGCATTCCCTTGCTGTTTGGTTGCCTGGAAAATGGGGGGAAAGGACAGAAATTTGAATTTAGGATCTCATGTTTTATGGGTTTCCGATGAATTGTGAAAACTCGACTATATCTTGAGTAAAATAGGAAATAGTTGGAGTGGGTTCACTTTAGTGGAGGTTTTAAATATTCTGACATTTTCTCAGCTGCCAAACAGAGAATCGGAGGTAAGAGCATCTCAAATCCTTAAAGATTTTTTTTTATCAAATTTAAATTTGATTAAAAAATATTAAAAAATCATTTTCAAATATTTATCAAATCAACAGATAAACGTTTTTTTTTTTTTCCCCATCAAATTGAGAATTTATCATATTGTTCTGAATTTTTTTCTTTTTCAGCATTGGGGATAATTTTTTTTCTCATCGAATTTGATGACACAGGAAATTTGGGATAGGAGGTGAATTTTTAAAAAGATTTTGATGAAAATTTTATGAAAAGATTGGAGCAATTCATATCAAATCAAACTTTTTACTTAGAGCATCTCCAACGGTTCATTACTTTTTTCACCAAATTTGAGTAAAAAATACCCGTTTTTCTCAATATAATACGGTTAGACCATCTCCAACGTTGTATCAGATTCAGTATCAAATTTGAATTTGATGAAAAAAGTTACTTTTTTTGCTCTAATGGTTTCACCAAACTGATATCAAACTGGGAACAGAGCAAATTTTTCATCAAACTGAGAATCTGCGTGAACCTTCACCAATTCACTGTGTTGTAACGTTGCAAGTGGGCCCACCGGTCAACCTGCCGAACGTCTGGCCGGTCGACCCACTGGTCGACTGGAAAAAGGTTCAAACAGTTCAAATAGGTAGGTTCAAACAAGTTCAAAAAGAAAAAATATATATATTTTTTTGCCTTACCGGTCGATCCACCGGATGTCCCCTACCTTTGATGACAATCATTGGAGCAGCTCATATCAGATTGAGAAAACGGTCTTTTTTTTTATTCAGATTTGATGAAAAAAAAAGTGAACCATTGGAGATGCTCTTAGCTCCAACAGTTCATTACTTTTTTACCAAATCTGAGTAAAAAATAGCTATTTTTCTCAATATGATACAGTTAGCTCAAACGGTGTGCACCAAAAGGGAAAGGGTCGTCCAGTTGGTCGACCGGTAAGGCTTATGAATTTTTTTTTTTCTTTTTCCTCTTGATTATTCCTGTCAAAACCTTTTATTTGTTAGTAGACATTGCTAAGTTGTGAACTGAGTGTAAAACTCATCCCTTGCAAATCTAGCAAGCAAGTTTGATTTCCCAACAGCTGAATCACCGATCAAAACAATCTTGAAAAGGTAATCCTCAGTTAACTCCTCAGAATAAAATGCCATTTTGAACTAGGGTACTATGTCACAAACAACTAGACAACCATATTTTCTGATATAAGGTCTTCAACTCCGTAGGACTTTTGTACAGGAACAAAATAATGAAGAAAAGATCAAACATTCCCTATTTCATGACAATGAGCTGAAATTAAAAAATATAATGACAAAAACAGTGGCAATAAGAGCTTTGGAAAGCAGCCTAGGTATAAAACTCAAAAGCAAGAGTCCCTCAATTACTTAGAAGCAGCAAGAAAAGAATACAATAAATGCCAATACTTACAATGGGGAAGGTAACGCAGTCTAATCAGGAACCTTCAAGAAGATCTGCATATTAAGATCACACGGGTATTGAAATTTCAAGCTTTGATTCAAATTTCAAGCTTGAGGGTCATCCGGGGGGTCGACCCCGGGGTTGTCCGGTTGGTCGACCTCCTGGTGTAAAATCTATACAAAATTTTGAGAAAATTGGATAGTGAAAATACAACGGTAATGAATAGTGTTTTGGTGAAAGACCCAACACATTCTCATTTTGGTGAAATTTTTGGTGAATTTTCATTTTGATATCAATTTGGTGAAACCATTGGAGTGAGAAAAAGTGAGTTTTTCAGCAAATTTCAAATTTGATGCAGCGTTTGATGCACCGTTGGAGATGACCTTAAATTTGGAATCAAATTAGATGAAAAAAGTAGTGAAGGGTTGGAGATGCTTTAACATATACATATTAACAAAACTATTTATAATTTGTTTATATATAAACATAAAATGTTGAGTTTAAAGGGGAATTTTTTTACTCTTGGCAGGGAAAGGATAGGCCATTCTTCCCACCTGTGGGCAAGAAGGATGTGACTGGGTCAAATGAAGGACAGAATGGAGTTAAGGAGGTGAAACCAGTTCATGATCTAGTTTTTGAACAGTTAAAGTGGACTAGAAAAGAGAATGAAGATTGTCTTGGTTCATGTGCTGATGGTGAGGGTGGGAGTTCTTGCACAGAAAATATGCATGAATCTAGAAAAAGGAAAATCCCATTTGCAGGTTTGTCATACAACTCAATTGATTACTGCAAGTTGTTCTTCCTATTGTAATTTTGTTTTGGGGCTATTATATGAACATTTCTCAACTATCGCTGAATATCACTTTATCCACCCAACTTCAAAGTTGTACTTTAGACAACTGAACTATAAAAAAATAAATAAATAAATAAACTGTACAAATGCTCTCTTCTGGAAGGCTGAAACTGTGAAAGTGATGCAATTTTATAGTTAAGGGGGTCAACTGTGTGATTTTGAAGTTAAGAAGGTAAAGTGAGGGGTACCCGTTTAATTCACTTTAGTTTAACCTCAATTTCTACTTACATTTTATGTAGAAAAATAGTATAAATCATCTAGAAAAAAAAAAATGATTATTGGAAAGGTGTGCTTTCTAATTATTAGCGTTCTTAGATACACCAAACAGGGCCTTCTTATAACTATTCTAGCTTGAAACACAGTACCAGAACTAGTAGAAAAATTGAACTTGAACAATGGCATATGGTCACTAGAGATTTCTTGTGAGAGATCAGATGTTACCCTTTTTGTCATATTTATCTTTTCATTCATTAAAAATAATGAATTTTTCCATGTAATACAAAGGTGAAGATGGGGAACAATCTGCTCAGAAGCATTTGGTTGTTCTTGGAGATTGCCCAAGACCCATTCATCCAATACCCAAGAAAAATGGAGAGGAACAGAGTTTTACTGCAAGCAAGAAACCAAGACGTCTCTTTAATCACTGTAAGTATGCTATCCCACAAATGCCAAGCCACTGCAATAAATTCCTCCATTGAATTCTCTAAACATTTTTTTTTTTAATTTCTTAATTTGTGCTGAAGAATAATTTTTTTTTGGTTTTGTGGTCTGCTTAACAGATGCAAATGGGAGTGGCTGGTGGGACTACAATATGGAAGGTGTTGACAATGAAGAAGTAGGCTGCAATGAAGCCTGGGAAGGGATAGGTTCTGCCACATTGGGGGGATTGGATTGGCATTGACTTGAAACCACCTTTCACAAGTATGTTCAAATCCTAGAAAATTACCTTTTCTGTTTTCCTCCTAATGTTGGTGCTAATCAAGTCTTTAAATTAACTGGAAGGCAAAGATGATCAAAACCAAAAAAAAAAAAGATCTTGGCAACCTATGTTAGTGACTTTGGTTGAATGTAAAGATTTTACCTCAATAGGTATTTTGTGCCTTCGTTGTGGCTTGTTCAAGACTAGTCTGTTGGCTATTTATTTATGCATTTGATGCAGTTGGCTGATGGTTAAAAATATTTTTCGGAGGCTTCTAAATGCAATGAGGTTAGGAATAAATGATTATCGGCTAACACGTTATAATAGAATTGTTGCTATTCTGAAAATGGTGCCAATCCATAGTATTTTCCAATGGTGTCCCAAAAAAATTTAAAAATTTTGTGAAATAAACAGTAAAAGCTGCATAATAATAACCAGTTTAGCTTCAGCAGCTCAGCTTGTGGTGATGTGTGATAGTGTTTTAGACAAAAAGTAAATGATGGGTTGAGAGAGGCTCAATGCCTTGGGTAATTTAGTTTCGGCTTACAGACGTTTGATATAAGCATCAAGGCCCATTGTCTTGGGGTTTTCAGCTTGGGCTGCGTTCAGTGTTAAATAGTTTATTCATGCTGTTACAACTAGGGGTGGGTTGAGTTTATGTGTTGTTGTCTCGAGTTCGTGTCAAATTCCTAGCAACATTAAAATGTGATTGAGTTATTAATTGATTTATTCTCGTTAATTTCATATTATGTAAATGACATTAAATTGATTTATTTATTTATTTATCGTATTATCATATTGTGCTAAAATTATGTTGATATTGAAAACTGATCAACCATAATATAGCTAATTTGGTGTATAATATTAATGTATCGAGTCAACATTTGGAGTCAAGTGCCCCCTGTTTTGCAGGGCTGGCTTTTGGTTGCCTAACGAGACTTCATCTAGAAGTCCCCCATAGACCCAAAAAACTTGTCAAAAATAGTCCTTTAATAAGTGTATTAAAAAATGTATAAAAATGGTAATTTCACCTAACGGTAAAACTTGTCAATTGATAACATTATTGGTGGTATGGGTTTGACTTGATAAAATATCTCTGCAAATAGGATAGAATCATATACATCTTATTTTTTGTAAATTCTATTTTAATACTACTAAGTTATTTATTTATTTATATTTTTAGTTACATCAAATTAGGGGTGGGCGCGGTCGGTTGCGGTCACGAAACCTCCAATCTGTCATCCGTCCGTCAGATTGGCGAATTAGAAAAAATCAATTTGCATCCGTCTGTCAATACGGCGGATGTGGATTGAGCGGATTGGCAGTTTGGCAGATGGATGTGAATCAGGTTGGTGGTTTGAAATTTTATAAATTTTCAACATAATTCAACTTGTGCACTTTCTCAACAAAAAAAAAAAAGAGTATTACAGTCAATGATTTAAAAAAATGTTACAATTACTGCATGCATTATCCAAAGAAAGAAAGTTTGAAACTTTAGACTATCACAATCATTGTATGCCTCATCCACATATTACAATCACAACATGCCTCATCCACATAAAATATTACAATCTGTAGTTCTTAAAATATAAAAATAATTCAAATCACCAAAACCATGAACAGAGCAATAGTAGAGATTGTATGTCTCTATATTGTTACATTTATATATGTTTTTAGCATATGTTATATTTTATATTTATTACCTTTAGAGTTAGATTTAAAAATAAAAAAATATGGATAAATAATACGTTTATTTTTTTCAATTCAAAAAATATATTCAAGTTGAAAACTTTTTTTCAACAGAATATTTGAACTCTTTTTTAATTTGAAACACAAACAAAATATTTAAACAAATTGAAAACGCAAATTTTATAAATTACTAAGGGTGTTCGCAGTTTGGCGGTTCGGTTGCGGCCAAAGGAATTTCAAATCCGTCATTCGTCTACCAAATTGACGGATTGGAGAAAATCAATTCACAACCGTCCGTTCGTCATGACGCATCCGTCCAAAAATGCGGCGGATCGATTCAGTTCGGTCGGTTTTGACGGATCGGTATATCCGCTGCTCACCCCTACAGCAAACAACCATGAATGGCTTTCAACTTCTCACTTAGTGGAAAAATTATTAGATAATTTTTGAAGATCATATGGTGTTGTTTATGTGATATTGTTAATTAATTTTTGTTTCTCAAGTTACCTAACAAATGTGAGTCATTAAATCTTATTTGTAAAATTTTTATCACATTAGGTGTTTTGAGAAGATAATTAAAAGCTGTTTTTAAATTTTTTTTTTTTGTGACTTTTTTGTGAGAGAGAAAAATAGGTTAAAAGTTAGAAAGTAATTTTTAACTCACTTTTCAAAATAGGCTAAAATATCACATAAATAATATAATATCAATAATTAATAACCTCCAATATAGCCATGCATTTTCTTAGTCCTCGACTTACTTTTCTCATGTCATAAATTCTATTCATACCACCAAAATAGGTTTTTTTATTTTTATTCTTTATTACCAACGTAGGTTGCAATGGTCAAACTCGTCATCTTATTGGTTTTGATCAACTCCTCCTTTCATTTCATTCAAAGAGACAGCTAATTAAAGACACAACTATTCTTTGGATTGTAGTGATAAGTCGGTTGGGAACTACAACGAATTAGAGAACGACTCAAACCACATTGCCTATATTTATAAGAAATTAGTTTGTCGATGAGCATGCTTTTAAATTTAAAAAATATAAATTTTGGTATTGATTAAAAAATATACGTTTGAGAAATTGGTTATTTTAGTAGGTTATTTTAATTTTTAACTATTTTAGTAGGTTAAAATATTTATGTTTGGAAAGAGGGTTAAATTTTTTTATAGTTAAATTTGATGTTTATATGAGAAAAAGTAAAATAATTATGGGTTTGATGTGATATTTTGTCTAATTGGTTATTTTAATCTATTTTATTTTTTTATGAATTTTAGCGAAACAAATCAATTTTTAATTTTTCAAACATTCTCATTGTGTATTACTCAAGCGGTAAAGGTCTTGTTTATTAGACTAAAAATTGTAAATTTCAGTCTCAGTCTTATAACATATTGTGTTTAATATGATTGATATATAAATGCAAAATGACATTTTATCTAATAGATTCTAGGAACTTCAAAAAATTATTTTAATTATTGTAATTCAATCAATATCCAATGAATAATTTTTGAAATCAATTTTTCATCCACTCTTTAACAGTTTTAATCAAACCAAAGTTTGACATTCATCTACATATAAAGATGAACGCATTAAAATATAGACTTGCCTCAGTAGATATGTAGAATCTGTTAGGGAAAATTCGTGATTCCCCACAAGTAAATCAATTAATGGGAATAAAAATTAATGTGGAAAAATTAAATCAAAGGCAACACAAGAATTTTTACGTGGTTCCCTCAATGTGAGGTACGTCCACGGGATCGAAATCCGATTCCACTATCAACCAAATAAGTTTCAAACGATTACAAACGAGACACTAATGATCTCACAAAATCACCCTAGGTGAATTCCAAATAATCACAAATAAACAAAGAGGAAAGACCTCACCAAATAGAAGAACCAAAATCTTCAGAACCAGAGTTGTAGAAGATCCAAAATAACAAACCAAACATCAATCGAAGATGTCCAAAAAACCCGAGCTTCAAAAACCGAATTTGAACCAATCTACGAATCTTAAACCACCCTTAGGTGAATTCCAAATAATCACAAATAAACAAAGAGGAAAGACCTCACCAAATAGAAGAATCAAAATCTTCAGAACCAGAGTTGTAGAAGATCCAAAATAACAAACCAAACATCAATCGAAGATGCCAAAAAAAACCGAGCTTCAAAAACCGAATTTGAACCAATCTATGAATCTTTGGCACTGTTCCGAAGTAACGTGATAGTATGGCCGCCGCACACTTTTTTTTTGGTTTTTTTTAATCAATCTCCCACTTACAGCACACCCAAATCAATATATATATATTGTTAATTTTAGGGTTTGTTTTATTAAAACCCTAGTTGTAATTAAATTAGATTGGGCCTTCACAAATATAATATATAAAAAATATATTATACTAAACTAAGCCAAATTAAAACTCTTTTAACAAATTAATTGGGTCCCACACTCCAATAAGGAGGTATACCCAACAGAATCAATCTTAACTTTGACTTGAAAGAGAACTAAAAATTATGCTACAAATATATTTTCTAACAGATTATCTATAGATCTTTGAAGCGAACCCCATTATTTTAAATGAAAAGTATTTTATTCACCTTATTAAAAACAAAATAAAAAACAAATTTGGAGCATTGTTTCGCTAAATTTGGTTTGACAAAAGTAGGAATTTTATCTGATGCTTCATACATTACAAAGAGTCCTGAGAGAGATGGTTATTGTCATTTTTCACAATTTCAGAAGCTGACCATTTCTGAATCTTGATGGATCCTTTTTTGATAGATAGTGTACTTTTCAGAACCACACAATTTCTAGAAGCCAAAAAAATATATTACCAAAAAAAAAAGAGGAGAGAAGAAGAGGAGGTGGCATAGAATTCATGTGCCCATATGGGTGAGACTAGCTTTCTTTGTGGGGGAGCATGTGAATCTATTCTAATGCTCATAAAGGACGTGGCATAGACAAGTTCTCTTGTCTTCTTCTTCTATTGGAGGACAAAGAAAGTTGTAAATCTTCCTTTCCACCCACAAAAAAACAGTTCATACGCACATTATGGCTTCGTTTGGGGAGGGGGTTAATTTTTTTACTTTTTGATTTTTTTGACTATTTTATTTTGGGTTAAAAAGTTTGATTTGAAAAGGATTTTTTTGACTTTTTTTGTGAGAGAATAGTATAATCATTTTGAGTTAGATGTGATGTTTTGTTTTTTATGACTAAAATAATTTAATTTGTCTTTTGTGACTAAAATAGCCAAAAAAAATCCAAATCCATCTTCCCAAACGAAGTGGGTAAATTATTCATAGATCTTAATAGTTAAATTTAATTTTTATCAAGTTTTATTAAAAATAAATTTTAATAAAATTATCTTTAAAAATAATTTTTTGTGATAATTTTTCGTATATGTTGTTAAAAATTGATAATTAATAATTTTTTTGTCATGACTTTCATAAATTGTAGCTAAAATTTACAATTAGTGGCTTTTTTTGTGATGAATTTTTTAAATTGTAGTTAAAAGTTGAGAATTATTGAATTTTTTGTGACGATTTTTTTA